TCAAAATAGTATGGTATTAGTATAAAAATAGACACACATTCAGTGGAACAGAATAGATACCTAGAAATAAACATACACACCACAAACCCAGAAATAAACTATGGTCAATTAATTTCAACAAAGGAGCCAAAAATACACAAAAGGGAAAGGACAATCTCTTTAAAAAATGGTATTGAAAAAACTAGACAGCCACATGCAAAAGAATAAAACTAGATTATTATCTTACACCATACAAAAAAATAACTCAAAATGGATTAAAGACTTGAATGTAAAACCTGAAACTGTAAACAACTAGAAGAAAACAGAGGCTGTTAGCTACTTGACATTGGTCTTAGATATGATTTTTTAGATATAACTCCACAAACAAAGGCAAAAAAGCAAAAATAAACAAATACACTATATCAAACTTAAAAGCTTCTGAATAGCAATGGAAATCATCAACAAAATAAAAAGGCAACCTACTGAAATGAGTATTTGCAAATCATATACCTGATAAGGGGGTATATGACAATATCTAAAATATATAAAGAATACAACTCAACAGCAAATAAATATTCTTATTTTTAAAATGGGCAGAGGTTTTGAACAGATATTGCTCCAAAGAAGGACATAAGGGTCAACAGGTATGTGAAATGATGCTCAACATTACTATCAGAGAAATGCAAATCAAAACTACAATGAGATATCATCTTATGACTATTAGAGTGGCTATTACCAAAAAGACAAGAAATAATGTGTTGAGAAGGATATGGAGAAAAGGGAACCCTTGTGCCCTGCTGACAGGAATGTAAATTGGTGCAGCCACTATGGAAAACAGTATGGAGGTTCCTCAAAAAATTAAAAATAGGATTACCGTATGATCCAGCAATTCCCCTTCTGAGTATTTTTCCAAAGAAAATGAAAACACAAATTCAGAAAGATATATGCACCCCCATGTTCACTGCAGCACTGTTTATAATAGCTAAGATACAGCAACAATCTGAATAACCAATGATAAATGAATAAAGATTATTGGAATATTATTCAGTCATAAAAAAGAATGAAATCTTGCCATCTGGGATCCCTGGGTGGCGCAGCGGTTTGGCGCCTGCCTTTGGCCCAGGGCGCGATCCTGGAGACCCCAGATCGAATCCCACGTCGGGCTCCGGGTGCATGGAGCCTGCTTCTCCCTCTGCCTGTGTCTCTGTGTCTCTGCCTCTCTCTCTCTCTCTCTCACACTATCATAAATAAATAAAAATTAAAAAAAAAAGAAATCTTGCCATCTGTGACAACTTGGGTAGACCTTGAAGGCATTACGCCAAGTGAAGTAAGTCAGACAAAAACAAATACCTACCATATTCTTTCATTTATATATGAAATTTAAGCAAACAAAAACCAAGCTCATAGAAACAGAGAACAGACTTGTAGTTGCCAGAGACTGGGAGTGGGGGTGTGAAATGGATAAAGGGGTTCAAAAGGTACAAACTTCCAGTTATAAAACAAATAAGTCAGGGGGAGTTAATAATACTGCATTGCATATTTGAAAGTTGCTAACAGACTAAATCCTAAAAATCCTCATCACAAGAAAAAATTATGAATGGTGATGGATATTAATTGTGATGGACTTACTGTGGGGTCATTTCAAAATATACACAAATATCAATTCATTATCTTGTACTTATGAAACTAATATAATGTTACATGTCAATTACACCTCAATTTAAAAAATTCTTTTGGGAATCACCAAAGATCTTTAGATGATTGCTTTATACTGTAATTGATATAGAGGTCCTAAAAATGAGAAGTAGCAGAGAAGAGAGCTAACATTTATTGAACTTCTGATGTGTACCAAGTGTTCTACATATATCTTATTTCGTTCTCAACATTAAGTGAGAATAAGAACCTCTCATTTACAGTATAAACAGCTACAGGTGGTGCAGCTAAGCTCAAAAGCCACATATGATACTAGAACCTATGCTTTTCACACCATGTTAGAGAGACTAGCATAGGTAAAATAATCTGAGAGATGATTTTTTTTTTCTGAAGAAGCCAATATTTAAACTAAACAGTTGGGCGGCCCGGGGGGCTCAGCGGTTTAGCGCCGCCTTCAGCCCATGGTGTGATCCTGGAGACCCAGGATCCAGTCCGACCTCAGGCTCCCTGCATGGAGCCTGCTTCTCCCTCTGCCTGTGTCTCTGCCTCTCTCTCTCTCTCTCTCTCTCTCTCTCTCTCTCGTGTCGCTCATTAATAAATAAATAAATAATCTTTTTTAAAAAAGTAAAATTCTCAAGAGTAACATATTACTGACTTTTTAAAAAAATAAATAAATAAACAAACTAAACAGTTAACGAGAATAAATGGCAAAGATGCAGAAGCAGAAACCACCTGACAAAGGACAATGGAGGGCAGAGGGAAGAGGAAAAGGCAAATAAAAAAGAAATATAATAAGGAGAGAACAGTAAAGGTACCATAAAAAGCAGAACTGGCTGGACCAGAATGTTATTAAAATAAAAATATTAGACAATAGATAGCTACATCTGTATCTAAGGCTATACCTATTTTTTAAAAGATTTTAAGTAATTTCTACACCCAAAGTGGGGCTTGAACTCACAACCCCCAAGATCAAGAGGTGCTCTCTCCACTGACTGAGCCAGTCAGGCATCCCCTACCCAACTTTTATATCCTCACTTCCAAAAATGTATTTGAGGGGGCTAAGAATTAAGGAAAAAAATTTTTAATCATACACAATGGTCATAGGTAATAGGTACTCAATATCATTAACCCAGGCAAAAATTACTATGATTGATCATTATTTGAAGTGCTTACATTACTGGCAATCAACGCAAAAGGAAAACACTAATACAATGGGTTATATGGTTCCTATTGGCCTAGAACTATTTACAGGAGATAAGCAAGAACTTGTTGAGAAACCTTACGAAGACCTAGAACAACCGAGAGGTTTATGTTATTACAAGGATCCCAAATTTCTACTCACACAATTACAGATACAATGCAATTCAACCTAAATTACAAAAGATGCTTGAATGAAACCAAGCTATTTCAAAAAATTTATATGGAAATGTAGAGGAACACAAACAGCGAAGATACTCTTCAGGAACAAGAGGTAAGAGGACTTGCTCCAAATATTATAAAATCACAGTGAATAAGATAGCATGATATTGCTGCAAGGAGAGAAAAACAGAGCAATGGAACAGAATATAATGTCCAGAAATAGATGTAGATATATATGATCACTTGATTTTTTACTAAAATAGCCACTGCAGATCAGTGTAAGAAAGATAAACTTTTCAATAAATGATACTGGAACAACCGGATACCCACATGGGGGATAAAATGAAATTACATCACTGCCTACAGAAATCAATTCCTGGTAGTGTAAAGACCTATACGTTAAAGCCAAAGACTAGAAAACTTTCAGAAGAGAACATAAGAAAATCTTCATTACCTCAAGGTAGCAGAAAATTTCTTAAACAAACACTAACCACTGAAAAAGATTTCATTACATTTAAATCTCGAACCTCTGTTCATCAAAAGTCACCAGAATGAAAAACCAAGCCAGAGCAGAAGAAAATATTTAGTCATCATTATTCAGAAGATAAATACACACACACATTAATCAGAGAAAACCCAATTAAAAATTGGAATAACATTTGAACAAGCATTTTATAAAAGAGGACATCTGGTTGGGCAAGAATTGTGTTGTTTCATTGCTAATCAAGGAAATATCAATTAAATATGTGATTAATAACATTAGACATCCACCAAATTGGCAAAAATTTAAAAGTATGACAATGCCAAGGGCTGGCATGGATGTGGAACAAAAAGAACCTTTACAAACTACTCATACAAGTAAAAAACTTGCACAGTGTCTTTAGAGAACAGTTTGACATGCTCTAGTAAAACTGAAGACGTACAAATTCCATCCCTCAGCAATTTAATCATAATTTTAGCATATCAGCTAAATAAATGCAAACACACATGTGCCAAAATATGTGTACAAGATATTCATAGTCACATTGCTTGTAACAGCCAAAAACTAGAAGCAGGTCATGTATCCATGAAAGGTAGAATGGATAAATAGTAAATTGTGATGCCATCATACAAGATAATATATGTACAGCAACGGGGAAAAAATGAACTGTAGTTAGAGGAAACATGAATGAAGGTCTTATTTTTTACTAAAAAAAAGACATAAAAGAATGTCTATTCATACAAAGAGAAAACACAAACTAAACCTATATGATTTTGGAATTCATACACTAAAGTTCTAATGAAAGGCAAAGAAATGATCACAGTGGTCATCACCAGAGGAACACAATTATTTGTGACTGCTTAATGGGACATCAGAGGTTTCTTTAGAAATGATTGTATTTTATATCTTAGGTACTCCCTATGTGAGTCTTTATAATTATGTATGAAATGGCACATATGACTAGGTTATGCCATTTCTGTTCCTAATTTGGGAGGAGAAAAAAAGCCACAGGCATTCAAATAAACATGCGCTTCTAAAAATGTTTCAAATATTAAATCATGTGGGAAAATACTTGAATACAATTTTGTGTAAAAATGCAGGCTATAATGGTAAATGCTGAATGAATTCAATCTTCAAAATTCACATTTTATTATATAAAACAGAACAGGATCACATTTTGTACATAAAACAGAAAATACAAAAAAGTATTGGCTTTAACTGGGAATTGAAATTTTCTTCAAAAGACACACTTTTGAAATTATTTTAAATAGTCATTTTACTTTTACAAGTAGGAAGAAATAGTATTTAAAAAAAAGAAGCATAAAGGAAAATTAAACCATTGACAAATTAGTAAGAGAAAATCAGGTGGCCCTGAAGACTTAGGGTTTGCAGCCAATCACATTTTATCAAAGTGGAAATTCCAGGGATCAAGTCACCTAACGGGCAAGAATTTTCAAGCGGAGAAAAGCAAGTCAAGTCTTGACAAAGAAAAGGGGATTTCAGGAAACAAGGGGAAATGACAAACTACCTTGCTGGAGCCTTGTACATGTTCCACAGCCATTCTTCACTCCACTCTGGAAGCCTCTGTGCAAGCAAAGCAGAGCTGGGGAAGAAGAAAAGAGTCAGGAAACATCAGGTTCTTCTGGGACCCCAGGTCAACCAACCTCCCGCCACCTTTAAATGTTAAGTCAGGCAAGGCTAGGACGTCCTGTACAAGAGCAGGGTCACTGCAGTTCTGGGCAGAAATCTGTCCCTGAGCTCACAGAGGTCCCCTGGGAGCAGAGCGCTGGAGTCACAAAGACAGACAAAGGCGCCCCACAACTACAGTGCTATACGGACAGAGTCTCACAAACTCGCACCATGGGGACGCAGGCACCCCAAACCTAAACACAACCGGCTGCACATGGTCACACAGGCATACACACCACAGGAACGGGCACAGTCACAATCGCAGTCATAGGCACCCCACACACTCACATTCCCACGGCCACACTTCACGGGGACACAGTGACAACAACGAACTGACACGCATCCTACACCAATAATATCACAAATACATAACAGCATGGGTAAACACAATCACAGACCTCACAGTCAAGGCATCCCGCACTCACGGTTCAGCAAATGGTCATAAACACACACGCACCAAGAAGACACCCGGTTTTACAACGGCGGTCAAAGAACGCTACGCTAGCAAACACCCGGTCACACAATTAAACCTCATCACACCTGAACAATCACACCCGCAAATCCAGACCTCCTCCCCGCCCTCACAGTTCCGTACACGCTCTCACTGACACAGAGACACAGTCACATTTAGACACACACCCTCTTCACAATCTCCCCTGCTCCGCTGGCTCCGCCACACAGCCCGCACAGGCCAGAGGTCCTAGACACGCCGGCCCCAACCCCGGGTTCCCGGCCACCTCACCTATGCTTCCTTCGGGAGGGTCAGCACCCCTCTACTCAGCTTGGAACGGGTCGAACGCGGCAGCTCCTACGGCGCCCGGAGGTCGTTTGCCCCAACCCGCCAGAAGATCCCGCCCACTCCTCAGGAGAAGGTATAGTTCTCGCGAGAGGGAGTACTGAGCCTAGAGGCCTCTGGGAGATGTAGTACAGCTGTAGTAGGGACATTGTTAAAAAGCTGTCTTCTGGGTATCTCCACTGGTGCGTGGCAAGGAGCCTGGACCCAGCCAGAATTGCGCCTTCTGGCCGAGCCGCGCACTGGAGGTTCCCGCGAGTGTCAGCTAACTAGGAGTCCTTCGACCAAACTGTGCTCAGGCTCCTCTGAGCCTCCTCTTGACTAGGTCTCATTCTTGACCTGCTGACTATAGTTCAGCAAGAGTCCCCCTGCTCTTGATATTTAACCAAGCTCCTCTTAGTAATTTCTATTCACTGACTCCCTCACCCTGCCCATTGGCTATAAATCCAAGCTACTGTTATATACTGAGCTGAGTTCAGCCTCTCTTCTCCATTGCCACAGTCTTTAAGAAAGTCTTCCTTACCTATTTAACTTGCCTAGAAAAGTTTTTCGTTGACATAGCCCCCAGTGCGGCTCTCTCAGGCTTTGACCACTCACTCTGCAACATACTGGGCCCTCCTGGGAAATGCAGTCTTGGACTTTGCCAAAGGCCAGATGGACCAGGCCAAGGTAAATTGCATCCGCTAGGCACTGAGGTGAGGCCTGGTCTCACTTTAAGTGCCCTGGAGGGTGCTCGGAATTCTGTTTTTCCCTGGAAATACAAAAGCGCTCTTGAGGCAGGCTGTTGAGGACCTTGTCAGAAGAACCAACCCAAATGTGGACCTGAGCATCTGTGACCAAATCAGCCTGGGGAGTTTCAAAGAGAGGAATCTTCAAGCCCAGTCATATATGTGAAAGTGGACAGAGGAGGTCCCGTGTAAGACAGTAGTGAGATTATATGTGTGACTGGTTCGGGGAAAGGACAGTTGAGTGAAAGAAAAACTGCAGGTGGGTAAAATTGGTGAGTGTGACAGAGTGGTAGAATGAAAATTATGTGTGGCTTTGTGAGGCTGGAGGGTCATATCATGGGGATGTGTGGTTGAGGTAATTGTGTACAGCTGGTAGGGCAAGAGTGTCTGGATCCCTGCAGGTATGGATCTGAGTATGTGTGTGATCACATGAATGTGGGTCATCTCAGTATGGGTGCCTGAGGAATCTGAATCCTGCAAGCCTTATTTCCTCTTCAAACTGATAATAAGGGTATATCTTCCTGGAGCTTCTATTTTAAGAGGGAAAGGTACATTTTAATTTATACAATAAATAACCTGTTATTTTTACATGAACTCTTAAGGTTCCAACCATTTGTTCTGGAATAGAAAAACAAATCAGTACGACATTTTAACAAGGTATACTTTGCTCTATATAGGAGTATTTGTTTTGTCCACTGTCTTGCCCCCATTTACTTTTTTCTGTTCTCTTGGAGTCATTGATAGAACAAATATTTGGAGATGTAATTGTTCAATTCAACCAGAAGTATCAACCACAATTAAAAGATGTTCAGAGGAAGCTGTACAGGGAAGTGATGCTGGAGACCTAGAGCAACACAGCCAGAATAGTCATGGAGAGCTCCTCTATAATCCAATTTTTAAAAGTAAAATGCTGTCTCTTTTCCATTTCTGAAATATTTAGACACTTTACATGGCATAATATATTCAGCTTTGAGATACATGTTTCAGGTATTCTCAAGCCCTCTGCCATATGATTGTATATGCTCAACCTTTAAGGTAAAAGGTCATTTACTTTGTTCTTCTTTATGTGGTAACCTCCTTAAAGACCCAGGCTCTGTCTGATTTTGGGGATGGTGTGAATTGAAATTCAATCTTATGTCACTTTCCTAGATATAGGCTATCACATCACCAAACTGGGTAAAGTATTTAGGTTGGAACAAGAAGAGAGACCCATGGGTGGTGAATAGAGGAAATGTGAAGGAGATACTCTCCAAGTGCGTGAGTGAGAACCAGCCAGATTTGCCTGGGATAAGGCAGGACCCAAGTGTTCAGTGGGAGAGCTGACACCACTGAAATGTTTTTCAGGATTTCCCTACTATCCTTCAGTCTTGGTTGATGTGAATCCTTCTGTCATCATTCTCCCTGTATCAGTGCCCTCTTTTATTTAAGTAATCCTAAAAGGGGGGGAGGCATATTCTCTTCATTGTCATAGCCTACATGTGCCGTCAGTCCTTTACAAATCAACAGTATTTCAAAACTATTATTGTTGCACACTGCGGTTTCTGTTTTACTACATTCCATTTTCTATCTTCCTAGTGCTAAAAGCTTCATGTTTATTTTTTACATCTGCATTTCCCATTATCATTTATTTCCCACAGTCATATTTCAGCAACTTTCATCATCTCTTGAGGTTATTAGCCTAGAAATCATTGCTGCTTTCCCCCAGCTCTCCTTTCTGTCAATTTTTTTAAATTTTGCAATTGTTTTTAAAGGAACCATCTTACTCATCTTAAATATTTGACCAAGGTTATAATGAAAAAAGAAGTGTCCCTTTCAACTATTTCTCTTCTCCACTTGCATCGACTGTAACTAGTTTATATGTAAACTACTTTGTGTAATTCTATATTTATACCAACATATCTATGTACATAAAGCCCCTCATCTTTGTTTTTCACAAATGTTAGTATACTATAAAACATCCTGCTTGTTACTCACTATTATTTCTTAGGAGACATCCCATATTAATACATATTCCTTATTCCTTCGTATAGCGGTACGGTATTTTGTGGTAGGGGAAATGTCATATTTTAACACCATATTAATGAATATTTAGGTTGTTTTCAGGTTTGTATAATTCTGGGATACCAAAATTTCAGCTTTGGATAGATGTGCATGCATCTTTGTAATAAATTCCTTTAAGAAGCACCGGGCCAAAGCTTATTTATAAATATTTGCAATCCACATAAGATGAATCACTTTCCATTCCCATCAAAAAATTTATGAGAGTGCCTATTTCCTGTTCCTGTCAAACACTGTATTCCTTCATTTAGCAGCTCAGTGTGACCTATTGAGCCCTTTATCTGCGCCATGTTCTATTATAGAAAAGCATCAGTGAACAAAATGGCCAAAATTTCCTTTCCTCAAGGAGTTTACATTCTAGTCAGAGAAAGTTGCCAATGAACATGTCAATGAAATATGTAGTATTCTAGATAAAGTTATGCTCTGTAGAGAAAAATAAAGCTTGGAAATGGGATGAGTCCCAGGGGAATTGCATTTTTAAAGTTTTATTTAAGTAGTCTCTACACCAATGTAGGGCTTGAACTCACAACCCTGAGACCAAGAGTTGCATGCTATTCTGACTTAGAAGCCAGATGTCCTGGGAATTGCAATTTTAAGTGAAATAGTTAGGAAAAGCCTAACTAAGAAGAAAATATTTTAACAAAACCAAAAGGAAGGAGCAGTGACATTTGAATATATTTGGATAAAGCAAATTATAAACAAAGAAAACACCAAAACATAAATGCCAGGCATTGGATATAAGCCTGGTATATTCAAGGAAGAGTGAGGAATCTACTTGGGATTCTCTCCCTCTCCCTTTGCCTTGCCTCTGCATGCCATGTTCGCCTAAGTGCATGAGCTCTCTCTCAAATTAATTAAATAAATAAATAAATAAATAAATAAATAAATAAATAAATAATCTTTTTAAAAAATCAACTATGGAATGAACAAGCTTTAGGGGGTGTATGAAGAATTTTCTCTTTGCTCTCTTAAACCAAAATAGTCCATGTTAAAGAGAAATATTTGGGGTACCTGAGTGGCTCAGTCGATTAAGCATCTGCCTTTGGCTCAGCTCACGATCCTGGGGTCCTGGGAATGAGCCCCTCAATGAGTTCAGCATTGGGCTTCCTGCTCAGCAGGAGTCTGCTTCTCCCTCTCCCTTTCCCCTGCTTGTGCTAGCTCTCTCTCTCTCTCTCTCTCTCTCTCTCAAATAAACAAATAAAATATTTTTTTAAAATAAGGAAAAACATTTACATGTTGCCAGTACCTAGGTGGCATTTATAGTAGTGAGAGGATGAGAATTCTAAAGAAATCTATTAGGGTAAGACTAAAGATAATAACGCGTAGAGGGCTAAATTGTGGCACCCCAGAGATATGTCTATATCCTAACTCCCAAGACATGTGTGTGATCTTGATGTAGTTTTGGATAGTGTTAGGGTCCAGAGCCAATGTTCAAGAAAAGGACTCTTGAGACATCTTTGGTGCAAAAAGGTGACTTTATTAAAGCACAGTGACAGGACTCGTGGACATAAAGAGCTGCATTACAAGTGTGAGGGGTGACCTCACACTTTTATATACTTGGGAGTTGGGGAAAGTAAGGAAAAGGGAGGTTTCCAAAAGGACTTTCTATCTCAAGTATTTGTCAATGGACTACAGGTCATAAAGAAACTTAATTTTGTTTACATTCCCTTCTGCCTCCATCACTCATGGAGGGGAGGGTGATGTTAGGGTTCCAGGAAATTGAGTTATAGGTTTCTGAAAGTTAGGCTATTGATAAGAATGCTTTTTATTTGTATATCACTAAGACATTTATAAATTGATGGACACTCATGTCCTGCAGAACTGTGATCTTGGGGCTCCTGGGTGGCTCAGTGGTTGAGTGTCTGCTTTTGGCTCAGGTCATGATCCCGGGGTCCTGGGATCGAGTCCCCCATTGGACTCCACAGGGAGCCTGCTTCTCCCTCTGCCTATGTCTCTGCCTCTCTCTCTGTGCCTCTCATCAATCAATAAATAAAATATTAAAAAAGAACTGTGATCTTTATCAGAAACAATCTGTTTTTCCTTTTCCTTAGTTTTAGGGAAGCCAAAAGTATCTGAGGAATGTTACACATATCTCTCCTGGGAGCTGGGGGTGGGACAGTCTCAGCTTGTGCCTTGTCCTCAGCTTACCTTTTGCTCCCTCATTAACCTTCCTTGGTAAAAGGAGCTTTGTAGATGCAATTAATTTAAGGATCTCTAGGAGTTCATCCTGGATTATCTGGGTGTGACCTAAATCCAAAAACAAGTGCCTTTATAACAGAAGAGAAAAGACATACCAGAGAAGGCCTTGTGAAGATGAGGTAGAGACTGAACTTATGCAGCAACAAGTGGAGGACACCGGAGTTTAGTTATGATTTTTTTTTTTTGGTCTCTTGGGAGCATCTTGATTTTTTTTCCTTGCCTTTTCATTTGTCTTATAATTTTTGTTGTTGTTGAAAGCCAGACATTTTGTTTAGGACAGTAGTGTGCAGAAAAGCCTTAACACAGCAGACCTGAGAATTCTTTTTTTTTAAGATTTTATTTATTTATTCATGACAGAGAGAGGCAGAGACATAGGCAGAGGGAGAAGCAGTCCCTCCCGGGGAGCCCAGTGCAGGACTCGATCCCAGGACCCAGGGATTACAACCTGAGCTGAAGGCAGATGCTCAACCTTGAGCCATCCAGGCTTCCCCAGACCCGAGAATTCTTATCCCTGTAGTCCTGCATTCACAGTTGGGCTTGACTTACATCTAGAACTTCGTTTTCCAGAGGGGGTTCCCAATATCCTGATAAGAATGGCCTACTATGCCTGTTTGTACATATCATATAGTTTATGTTAAACACTTGCTTTTATTCTGAAATTCTGGTATGCACCTAAAAGAAGCTGCCTATGTGTCCAGCCCATAATAAAAAGTCTAGGTACTGAATGTCTAATGAGCTTCGCTGGTTGGCAGCATTTCACATGTGTTGTCACAACTCATTGCAGGGGAAATTAATGTCTTGTGTGACTCTACTTGGAAAGGATCCTTGGAAATATGCACCTGGTTTTTCCTGGACTTTACTCCATGCACCTTAACTCCTTACTAATTTTGCTTTGTATTGTTTCACTGCGAGTTCTTCTAGTGAATCATTCAACCTTGGAGGGAGTATTGATTTTGGGGTCCCACAACACAGTAATAACTGAGGAAAATAATTTTCATGACTGAATGGGCATACTTTTCCTTTTGCAAAAACTTTAAAGTATAGAGCTTTAAGTTAATTCAATTAGGAGTTTTAATATCTAAGCAAGATAAATTCATACAATTTGATTTGCATTTATACAAATTTCAAAGATGGATAACTGACAACTAAGATATTTGTGGGGTCCCCTAATCTGGTGGAGGCCACCAAATGTGGGGGTATGCCAAGCTAGTAAAAGCCGGATTCATTCAAGGCAGAACAAGGGAGATAGAAGTTTATCGAATACACTGCAAGGGAGCAGTGGGTGGGACAGCAAAGCAGAAACTGTCTGCTGTGAGGCAGGGGTGGGGGGCTGTAGTTAAAGGGGGAAGGTGTGAAGGTATGAGAAGTACAGAATTTCCTTTTTTGGTACCTGTGTCCACATGTAAGTAACCCATTGGTCAGCTAGGGCTTAAGATTCTTTTGAGGTGGGTTTCCTAAAAGGCCTGTTTATATTCAGCCAGAATACTGAATTACTGTGGGCCCTTCTACCTTACTCAGGTTTCTATTGTTCAAATTGATTGCCTAAAAGCAACCTCTACAATATTATTTATTATCCTAACGGGAAGGATAGTGGTCAGCTAGGGACTGGGGATCAGAAATATCATATGCATAGGCCATTTCTTCTTGAGATGCCAACAATGCACTCTTCATTAGTATTGAGTTACACTGAATATACACATTCTATGCACTTTTCTTCAAGTATTTCCTATTTTACAATAAAAATATTTTAAAAGAAATTATTTTTAAAGGATTAATTTGAAAGTACTGAAAAAAAATTTACTCCTTGGTCAGAAAGTTTAGACATACTGTCCAGCTAAATGATGAGCTCAGAGAAGAGGAAGCAAAATTTAAAAGCTATCAAGTACTAACTTTCGGGGGGCGGGAGGGAGGCCAAGACATGAATAGCATTTGCAAAGCACTAATGTAAGCTTGAATATTAATTTAACCCAAACTCTTTAAGGGTAATTGGAGGATGAGAATAAGTGAAGTATTTATTTGTGGAGTTAAGAGGATAGTACACCTTGGCTAAAGAAGGAGCTTCCAAAAAAAAAAAAAAAAAAGAAGAAGGAGCTTCCATGGCTTCGCAGAGAAGGGACCCTCCTGCAGTTGGGCCCCTTCATCCTACCCCCAGGTCGATGGTTGTGGGATAAGAGATATGCACCAGGCTGGACCAACACTCAGACAAAGATGGGAAGGAGTCACTGGTCGCTTGACCACCGTCTAACAGGACTTTTCTGTCACAATGTGTCTGTCAGATGCCCAGACAGCAAACTCAAGCTGCAAAGAATGACACTCTTCCTCTGAGGTAGTTCTACGACCCTAAACTACATTTCCCAGGGGCCATCGCGTCCAAGGCTACTTCCGGTCGAAAGGCCGCATTGGCTTATTGTCCAGGTTCCCAGCACTTGTGGGGGAGCAGCGTGGAGGCTTCAGTGGAGTCTTGCGTTCGAATCGCGGCCTGGAACGAATAGAGAAGCCCTTTGCCACAGATGTGAGCAGTGATGAGGGCGATGGTCTTTGTCGAGGGAAAGGATGGAGACCCGGGCCAAGGCCTATGAATTGAGATCTTCGGCGCTGGGCTCTGAAGGCTGCCCGGGCTTTGACTACATTTTCCCATGTCCACCGTAGTAGCCGAGACAGCTTCCTGTCCGCGCACCGACGCTCTCGCGACTGTAGGAAGCGTCCCGCCCGAGTCACCGCGGAACATTCCTGTAGGGATCGCAGGGTCAGGTAAGATAATCTAAGACACAAAATGACCCCTGAAGGGCCAACGCCACTGGGAAGGGTAGTGAGGGATTAATGTTTTCGGAGTCTCAGGCTTTGCCAGCAAGAAGGAATGGAGAAGGAAGTTGGTAGGGAGCTGTGTATGTGTGTGCCCGCTCTTGCGCCAGCGATCACGATGGGATCTGTGGGTGCTTGTGTGAAATGGTTACGGGAACGGGAGGTGGGGGTAATCGTTCAGGAGCCGTGGGGGTGAGGGTGTGCGTGTGTGGTGCACATCATAATGTGCACGATGATGAGGGAAGCTGTACATGACGGTAATGGCTATTTAGGTGTCCCTGTGCACGTGCACGCATGATTGTGACTGCACACTGTGTGCCTGTGTGTGTAAATGTGGTAGCAGCAGCTGTGGAGCCAGAAACGAAGAATATTGCGTTTAGTAATAACCATAGTCCTTCGTAAATGTGTGGAGAGCAGTTTCTTTGATGACCGTTAGTTGGATTGAGTAATGTAGAATGTGGGGAGTGGAATAGGAGACAGTGTAGAGAACATATTCCAAGAATTTCTCTGTAAATATGAGCAGAGAAATAGAACAGCAGCTGGTGGGAGGATAACAATGTTAAAAGTATGCTGGTAATAATGAGCCACAAGAGAGGGAAAAGTAGACATACCGGGAAGAATGAGTAAACAAGGCTCAACTGTGTGAATGTACTGCAACTGCAAGAATAAAAGAGTAGTGTTGCAGAGAATAAGCCATGAGCCCAAGTTTTCAAAAAACAAGGAGAAATATCCTGTATTTGGTAGATGTCAGCCGCAGTGAGGTGTGGTGAGTTATATGTAATCTCATGGCATGAAATTCCAAGGTAGAGCTTTTTTAGAAAAGGAAGAGAGGAAGGTCTGAAAGTAATAAGAACAAGGAGGATACCTGCCCTGCTTCCAGACCCAGTGGCAAGAGGCTGGGGGGTAGGGAGGGTAGGAGAGGGAGATGTTGAAAAGGCTGCAGAGTCCCCTGGGGAGAGCCCGGTTTCCCTTAGACCCAAAGGTGAAGGGAGTATTCAAGGAAGTGTTGGAGATAAAAGAGGAGTTTGTTATTAATGAATTATGAATTCCAGAGGGCATACTAGAAAGTGTCCAGATGTGGGGAGAGATGACAAGAAGGTACATCTAGCTGGGGGGGGGGGAGTACAGTGTCTCTAAAGACATTATCAGGGAATCTAAGGCTTCTGACAATGGACATAAACATGGATACAGGGAATATTGATGCTTATTCTATCTGGATTCAAGACTGCTGGAGAAGAAGTGATAGGATAGAAAGGGTGGATTTTTGAGTATCCCTCAGGAAGAGGGGAGCCAAGGATAGAAGCTTTAAAGGTGGTTGGGGTAGGTGGAATAATGCCCCTGGAAAGATGTCAAGGTCCTAATCCCTGGAATCTGTGACTATTTTGCTTTACAGGGCAAAAGGGACTTTGCAAACAAGATTAAGTTAAGGACCTTGAAATGGAGAAATTATCTTAGATTACCCAATTAGGCCTGATTGGATTCTTTAAAGTCAGTAAACCTTTCCTAAGTCTTTAGGGTCACAGGGAGATAGGATCAAAGAAGAATGGTCAGAGATATGCAGAATTGCTGGCTGAAGGAAGGGAGCCAATGTTGGTGGCCTCTAGACTCTGGAAAACATAAAGAAATAAATAATTATCCATTAGAACCTCCAGAAAGGAACACAGCCCTGCTGACACCTTGAAAGTGGCCCATTGAGAACCATCTCAGGCTTTTACCTAACTGCCTAAGCATAAGGTAATAAATTTGTATTGTTTTAAGTCACTGTGTTTATGATCATTTATTGCTCAGAACAAGTGGTATAGCGTCTTAGCCTTAGTGCTGTGGAGGGGTCTTGAGCCCTGTGACATGAAATCAATCCCTATTGATAAGGTTGAGGAATTCAGTAAGGCACATAGGCCTCCTCTTCACTTATAATTTCCAGTTTTGCTGCATTATGATATTTTTTAACATTGGAATTTAATAATTTTTCTTTGTGGTCTAATATATGGCCTGTCTATAGTTACTTGTTTTCCACTTGATTTGTCTTTGATTGATAAAAATGTATTAAAATACTCTGTGAGTGAAGTTTTCTCTTACATAACCTGTAGCTTCTGCTTTATTGAAGTTGCTGCTGTTAGTTGATACATATTCATCATCATTATCATCATCATTATTTTTAGAGAGGGGAGTAGGGGCAGAGGGAGAGGCAGAGAGTGAATCTTAAGCAGGCTCCATACCCAGTGCAGAGTCTGATGTGGTGCTTGATCTCACAACCCTGAGATCATGACCTGAGCCCAAATCAAGAGTTGGATGCTTGGGGCACCTGGGTGGCTTCGTGGTTGAGTATTTGCCTTTGGCTCAGGGTGTGATCCTGAGGTTCCAGGATCGAGTCCCACATGAGGCTCCCATGGGGGGGCTGCCTCTCCCTCTGCCTATGTCTCTGCCTCTCTCTCTCTCTCTCTGTCTCTCATGAATAAATAAATAACATCTTAAAAAAAGAACACTTTGCTTATCTCTAAGGCATGAAGATACTAATATTTTCTTCTACATTTATTATATTTCACATTTAGATGTACAAACCCTCTGGAATTGATTTTTGTGTATGTGTGAGGGAAGATCAATTCATTTCCCTCATATATTCAGTTGATCTCATATCGTTTGTTGAAAAGACCATCTTTTCTCTCTGATAATCTGTTCTGAAATCTACCTTGTCTCAGTAATATAGCTACTCTAGCATTCTTTTGATTATGATTTCCATGGTATATCTTCTCCCATCCTTTTACTTTTAACCTTTTTACACCATTATATTGCAGAAAAACTGATATCTTGAAAATAATCACTTTCATCTCATAAATGTGATAAATTCCTCCATTCATTTAGATATTCTTTCATTTTATTCTGTTATTTTTAGTAATCAATGTAGAGGCCTTGTCCTTATTTTGTTAAATTTATAGGTATTTAACATTTTTGTTGCTATTGTAAATGCTGTCGTTTTATTTTTTTATTTTTTATGTTTTTAAAGATTTTATATATTTATTCATGAGAGACACAGAGAGATGCAGAGACATAGGCAAAGGGAGAAGAAGCAAGCTCCATGCAAGAGCCTGATGTGGGACTCCATCCCGGAACTCTGGGATCATGTCCTGAGCGGAAGGCAGATGCTCAACTGCTGAGCCACCCAGGTGTCCCAAATGCTGTCATTTTAAATCTAAATTTTAATTTCCTAATTTTTGCTTGTATGTTGAAATGCAGTTGACATTTTTACTCTCTCTGACTTCATATTTGTATTCTTAAATATTTCTATATATCTACCCATGACTTGGCTGCTTTATTTTTTATTTTTTTTTAAAGATTTATTTATTTATTTATGATAGAGAGAGAGAGAAAGAGGCAGAGACACAGGAGGAGGGAGAAGCAGGCTCCATGCCGGGAGCCCGACGCGGGACTCGATCCCGGGACTCCAGGATTGCGCCTTGGGCCAAAGGCAGGCACTAAACCACTGAGCCATCCAGGGATCCACCGACTTGGCTGCTTTAAATGATATCCTTTCTCTCCCAGTTATTATAAATGAGGCAGTCAGTGAGCTTGTCTATTTTCCATTTTGCAAACTTTATTTCTCTGTTAATTATTGCTGTAAAACATATTACCCTAAAAAAACAATAAATATTTATTATCTTACACTGTTTTTGCAGATTAGGAATTTAGGAGTGGCTTAGCAGTGAGGTTCTGGCTTAGGTCTCCTGAAGTTATAGCCAAACTCTTGGCCAGGCCACACTCATCTAAATGCATGACTGAAGCTGGAGGACCACCTTCCAAGATGATTTTCTCACATGGCTATTGGCAAAAGACCTCGGTTCCTCTCCATATGGACCTCATAACATGTTATATGGCTTTCCCCAGAGCAGAAGGGCAGCAAGAGAGTATAGGAAGAAGCCATAATGTTCTTTTTGACCTATTCTCATACTCCATCATTTCCACAATATCTTTTTGGTACACAAGTCAGCTCTATTCAGTGGAGGAGGCAACTACACAGCATTAATACGAAGTACTAGATACCTTTAAGAACCATCTAACATACTGGTACCATAATCTCCATCTTATTTTTATTTAGGTTTGCATTTAAATATGTTTACCATCACTGCTTTTCCTGAAATTTTCTCTGTTCTCTCTTTTATGGCAAAAATATATCCTCTAGTAGTTTAGAAAGCACTCATATGAACAATATTCCCTAAGTTGTTGTAGCATAGAACTTTTTATATTTTCTATTTGAAGGACAGCTTGGCTGCATATTAAATCTTCGATTCTGTCATTCATTTTACCACAAATATATTGGAGAGACTACCTCCCTCTTGGGAGCACTGAATTTAGTAGTGGAGAAGTCTATTGACAAGTGAATTTCCTTTTTCTCATGGGTAAGTTCATATTTTTATCTTGACTTCCCATGGGTTTTAGCCTAATAATTTTATTAGGAAATGTTTTCATATTGACAGTTTTTAATCATTTCTCCCTGATGTCTCTTCGTTATGTATATTCATGCTTTATTTCAGGAAATTATTTTTTAATGTTAAAAATAAAGTTTTTAATGTTTTTTCTCTTCTTTGATTTGGATTTCATCTGTAGGGGTTTGCTTAGTTGCAAGTTGGATTATCTCTGACTTTCAGTGTTTTCTTCCAATAATTGTCATCTCTTTCTTTGTTTCATTTGCTAATTTCTATATTCTTTGTCTTACACTGTTGGTTAGAATGCAGACTGGTGCAGCCATTGTGGAAGACAATATGGAAGTTCCTCAAAAAGTTAAAAATAGAACCACCCTATGAACCAGGAATTGCAAAACTAGGCATTTACCATGGGAGCACCTGGGTGACTCAGTTGGTTAAGGGTCTGCCTTTGGCTCAGGTCATGATCCTGGGGTCCTGGGATTGAGTCCTGCATTGGGTTCCCTGCTCAGCAGGGAGTCTGCATATCCCTCTGTCTCTCCCTTTCCCCCACTCATACATGCTTGTGCATTCTCTCTCTCTCTCTCTATCAAATAAATAGATAAAATCTTTAAAAAAAATACTAGGTATTTACCCAAAGCATATAAGAATACAAATTTGAAAGGATACATGCACTCTGGTATTAATAGCAGCATTATCAACAATAGCCAAACTATGGAGAGAGACCAAATGTCCATTGACTGATGAATGGATAAAGGTGGTATGTGTGTGTGTGTGTATGGAATATTATTCGGCCACCAGAACATGAAATTTTGCCATTTGCGACAGCATGGAGCTAAAATGTATTATGCTAAGTGAAATAAGTCAATCAGAGAAAGACAGATACCATATGATCTCATCTGTAAAATTTAAGAAAGAAAACAGATGAACATGTGCGAAGAGGAAATGAAAGAAAGGAGAGAGGGGAAACAAGCCATAAGAGACTCTTAACAATAGAGAACAGACTAAGGGTTGATGGAGGAAGGTAGGTAAGGGATTGGCTAAAATGAGTGGTGGGTATTAAAGAAGGTTATGATGAGCACTGAGTGTTGTATATACATGATGAATCACTGACTTTTATTCCAGGAACCAATATTGCACTGTATGTTAACCACTTAAAATTTAAATAAATCAGTAAGTAAATAAATAAAAGTATGGTTCCTCTGAACAACCAGGTTTTCTTTGTTGTTCATAACATAACCTGGTTCAGAACGACTCCTACTAACAGTTCTGAATTCCCCAGTGGTGCCTCTGCTGCAATTAAAGAATATATAGCCAGGGGGGCCTGGCTGGCACAGTCAGAAGAGCATGCAATTCTTGATCTTGGGATTGTGAATTTGAGTCCCACATTGGGTGTAGAGTTCACTTTCTTTTAAAAAAAAAAAAGATTTTATTTATTTATTTATTCATGAGAGAGAGAGAGACAGAGACAGAGACATAGGCAGAGGGAAAAGCAGGCTCCATGCAGGAAGCCCAATGTGGGACTTGATCCCGGGACTCCAGGCTCATGCCCTGAGCCAAAGGCAGACGCTTAACCGTTGAGCCACCCAGGTGTCCCTAGAGTTCACTTAAAAAAAAAAATTTTTTTTTTTTTTCAAAAAGGAGAAAAACATACAGCTAAGATCCCAACTTATTTGATGAGGCCAATATTACCCAGATACCAAAACCAGACAAAGCATATATCATAAGAATTTGAGTACAAAAATCCTCAACGAAATAGCAAATGAAACCTGACAACATATAAAATGAATTCTACAACATGGCCAAGTGGAATATGTCCCAAGAAAGCAAGGTTATCTGACCATACAAAAACTAATTACTGTGATACATCATATCAAAAGAATAAAAAATAAAAAATCACATGGTCATTTTAATAGATGCAGAAAAAGCATTTGACAAAAGCCAATACCTTCTCATTTTAAAAGTACTCTAATAAACTAAAAATGAAAGGGAAGTTCCTTAACCTGCTGTGGGGCACCAACAGAAATCATGTAGCTAATATACTTAATAGTGAATATCTGAATATTTTCCTCCTGAGATCAGGAGTTAAACAAGAATGGCTGCTTTTGCTACTTCTATTCAGTATTGTACTGGAGACTTTACAGGGAAGTTAGGCAAGAAAGAAGAAATAAAAAACATCTATCTTGGGAAAGAAGTAAAACCATCTCTATTTACACATGACATTATTTATTTTTTTTGGATAATAGAAAATCCTAAGGAATAAACACACACACAAACTATTAGAACTAATAAAAGGGTTTAGAAAAGTTTTAGAATATAAGATCAATAGATAAAAATCAAGTGTAGGGGTGCCTGGGTGACTGTTGGCTCAGGTCATGATCTCAGGGTTGTAAGATCAAGCCCTGCTTCAGGCTCTGCTCTGGGAATGGAGCTTGCTAAAGATTTGCTCTCTGCTTCTCCCTCTGCTTCCCCCCCCCCCCAATCAAGTGTATATTTATGCACTTGCAATGAAGAATCCAAAAATGAAATTAAGAAAACAGTTCCATTCACAATAGTATCAAAAAGCATAAAATATTTAGGAATAAATTTAATAAGTGAAATGTAAAACTCGTGTTCTTAAAACCTTAAGACAGGTATTTGAACATAAAAATTTGTACACAAAGGTTCATAGCAGCATATATATAATAATCAAAAGGTGGAAACAACCCAAATGTCTATTAATGGATAAACAAAATGTGGTCTAGTCATACAGTGGAATATTATTCAGCTGTAGAAAGGAATGAAATACTGATACATGCTACAGCATGGATGAACCTCGAAAGCATTATGCTAAATGAAAGACACTAGTCACAATAAGTTCACATATTGTATGATTCCATTCATGTGAAAGTCCAGAATAAGAAAATCTATAGAAACAGAACGGGAATTAGTGGTTACATAGGACTAGGAAAAAGGAGGAGTGAGAATGAGTCAGTTGGGTTTCGGTTTGGGCCAGGATTTTTGTAGATCCCTCTGACCTTTCTTCAGGGAAGAAAATGGCATTTTTAGTCCATTTGAAAGTTCTGTGGAAAACCTGACCTCTCATGATTCCTTCCTTCTAGCTCTGCTTCCTCGGGACTCTGCTTCACCAGGAGAGGAGTATAGAAGACTGATTGATTCTGGGAATTTTAAGTCATGGCCCATGTGAGTTGGAATTGCCTCTCTCCAAAATTTTAACCATTTATATCACATCTTATGAATACTTTTATTTATTATTCTTAAACTGCTTACTTGAGTCACTATTCAATATGGTGATAGCCATGAAACAGTCCACTGCCTTCCCTAAGTGTCCCTCTTCTCTCCAACATGGCATTCAGCACCTCCTGTGTTCTAAGACTTTGATAGAGCACTGAAGGAGGAAATAGTAGAGACTTTCTTTTCAAATCTGTGGCTTAACAAGGTGGAACTGAGTGGCTAAAAGGGATACACTGCATGAAAGCTTTTATTTACTCTGTAGAATGGGGTGTCTCATTTAATAAAGGTGAGAGTTGGTGTTGGTTGGTGTTCATTTTATTATGTGGCACTTTATCGTGCTTTTAAATAGAGGATTGGTGGAGGGTTAAGTTCAGAGAGATCTGGGATCTTGCCAGGAAATCAATGAGAGATTAATATTATTAACAAGACCTGTGTTGTCAGCTACTTAGCCCAGAACCCAGATTTTATACATTCTCACAGAAAATGGTATTCAGTTAGGGAGTGTATCTGCTAAGAATCCTTTCAGCTTCAGCTAACAGAAAAGTCAACTAAAAGTAGCCTAAGGAGGGGCAGGGGATTATGTTTATCCCATAATAAAGCTGGACTTAGTGATTAAGCCTGGTGTGGCCTCCGAGTGATATTAACAAAGAACTCTTGATTCTGGGCTGTCATCCTATTGTCTGATATTTGTCCCTGGAAAGTCATAAGGATGTTGTGGCTGAACAATAGAAGGTTTTAAGAGCATATAGTCACTCAGCCTCAGTCACAAATTTCCATGTAATTTCCCCCCATACTACAGGCAGCCGACTTCAGTTTTTTGCTCAGTGAGTATACACCACTGTATACTCCATACACCACTATATACGTGGTGTATACAGTAGGTATACAGTGCTCTTTTTCACTTCTTCCCCGTTCTATCTAAAAGATTTTTAAATTTCAAAATAAATTTATTATTAAAAAAAAAAGAAAACTTTAAAAATAAATAAATATATAAATATAATAAATAAATAAATAAAAGATTTTTAAATTTCACCATTGATGCTTGCGTTGTTTCTTTCAGCAGTTGATGGTGTTCAGGGATGTAGCTATAGACTTCTCACAAGAGGAGTGGGAGTGCCTGGACTTGGAACAGAGACACTTGTACAGAGATGTGATGTTGGAGAACTACAGCAACATGATCTTGCTGGGTAAGATTCAGAATTTGACCCCAGAAATTTCTGCTTTCTACATTGTGAATTTTTGCATTGTCTTTCAAGTGGTTAGGGAAATTTCTGACTTCTTTCTGGGAAATTGTTTATGCCTTGTAAATTTGGTAACCTCCATCTTCTCCATCTTTTAGATGGAGAAATACTTCATGCCTTTTTCTTACTCTTCCTATAATTGTCTTTCTTCCTTCATAACTGAAGGACTAGATTCAAATTTTGAAATCCTTACCACGTGGTTATTTCTTATTTCTTATCTCTGATCAGGACTTTGCATTTATCAGCCAGATGTGTTTTCTTTACTGGAGAAAGGGAAAGAGCCTTGGATGGTTTTACAGGATGAGACAAGAGGACCATGCCCAGGTGAGTAAGGGCTGAGTCTGCACAGGGACACCAACATTGCAGATAAGAGCTCAGATGTTTACGGAGGCAGCAGCATCTCTGAAATACTGGTCTCAAGTCTCCTCAAGAGATAAAATCCTGTGAATAAAGTTCTGAGACCTAGAGCCAGAAGTAACCTTTTCACCGTGAATTTCCAAATGACTCTTCTTTTCACCTCCAAATACCACTGCAATTCAGTACTACTCTTCATTTTCTTTCCCTCGTATTATAAAAAGGTAAGTGCCATTCTTTTTCTTCAGTAGGTAATGTATCAGTGCTTTGACTCAATTTCTTTCTCTCTTTTTTTCATGTTGATATTTGTAAATTTCTTCATTTAGATATTTGTAAATTTCTTCATTTAGATATTTGTAAATTTCTCCCTCCAAAAATCTTGACTATTTTTTATTTTATCTACTATGTTTTGAATTCTTCTTATCTTGCCTGAATTCTTGCTTCTGCGTTTCCTACACTTGCTAATTCATTCTTTTAAGCAACATTTATTGATTTTCTAATATCATTTTGGGATAAGAAGGGTTAACAAAGAGTATATAATCTATTAAAAAACTTGAATTTTCTGTGACTGGAACATGTCCATACATTTCAGCAAATAGGCTCTATATTGAGAGAAGTCCTGATAGTCTGCTTAGTTGAAAATCAGGATAATAGGTGAAAATGGCTTCTGGCTACAGGGAATAGTAAGTAGCAGAAGAGAGGTTAAGGCTAATGGAAGAAAACAAAGAGAGGGCAGTGTCACAAAAGACCAGTCCTGGGGATGCCTGGGTGGCTCACTGGTTGAGCGTCTGGCTTTGGCTCAGTCCTGATCCCAGGGTCTGGGATCAGGGATCTTTCTGTGTCTCTCATGAATAAATAAATAAAATCTTTAAAAAAACAAACCTTGCTGTCAAGAGGAAACAAGGCACATATTTGGCAAGTTGAGGCTAATTGATGAATTTTCTGTTTATGGGCAGGACTCAGATTGAAATAATATACTTTTGTAGCTTCTTTTTTTTTTCCACAGTATTTGTTAGTTGTTTATTTAGGAGTTTCTTTTTTATTTGAAATATCAAAGAAAAGAAAATAAATTTTATCTCCTCACTAGAATCATGTTTTTAAATTCCAAAAGCTATATTTGTGTTTTTAAATTGTTCTTTTTCTGAACTATTGATACCTACAACAACTGAAATGAATCTCAAGGATATGTTGCTGAATGAAAATGCCAACTCAAAAGGTCACATGCCAAATGAATCCATTTGTAGAACATTTTGGAAATTACCAAATTTTAGAGATTGAAAGCATATAGTGGTTGCCAGGGGTAGGGATGAGCTGGGGAATGGTGGTAGTGGTTATGGCTATAAAGAGGTAGCACAAGAGGTAGAATCTGTGAGATAATGATCTAGATGTGTCTTGATTGAGGTGGTGGTTATAGGAATCCACATATGTGATGAAATGACATAGTACACGTATGCATTGTGCCAATGCCAGTTTCATGATTCTGATATTGTGCTTTAATTATGTAAGATGTATTCATTGGAGAAAATTGGATAAAGGGTACTCTTTGCAACTTATTGTGAATCTGTAGTTACCATTGACCCTTGAACAGTTTGAGGGGTTTAGGAATATAGACTCTTGGACAGACAAAAATTCACATAGAGGTGGGTGCCTGTGTAGCACAATTGGTTAAGTGTCTGACTCTTGGTTTCAGCTCAGGTCATGATCTCTGGGTCGTGAGATCAAGCCCTGCTTGGGGCTCTGTGCTCAGCATGGAGTCTGCTTGAAATTCTCTGCCTCTCCTTCCTCTGTCCCTCCGCAACTCATTTGCTATCTCTCTCTAAAATAAATCTTAAAAAAATTAATATATAAGTTTTGACTTCCCAGAAACTTAACGACTAATAGCTTACTATTGACTGGAAACCTTACTGATAATATAAATCATATATTATGTCTTTATATAATGTATTCTTAAAATAAGCCAGAGAAAAGAAAATATTACTAAGAAAATCATAAGAAAGAAAAAATAAATTTACAGTACTGGAAAAAATCCACATATAAGTGGACCTGTACAGTTTAAATCTGTGTTGTTTAAGGGTCAACTGTATTTCAAAATAAGATTTTATAACATATTTTGTTCCCAAAGGTCTGTGCAATTATATTTCATACTTTTGTTCCCTAAACACTACTATGTGCTTTTAAAATTTTGGTCAGTTTTCACATACTATGAATCTTCTGTTGTATATTAAGGTTATTCTGCATTTCTTGTTACTAAAGTTGTAATTCTTGGTACAGGTCAATTATTCATGGGTTTTTTTTCCACATTGAATTATGGTTGTGTTTCAGATATGAAATTCCTTGGCCAGAGGATTTAAAGTTAGAATATTGTGTACCCAGTTAATTTAAGATAGTTAATTGATTATTTTAAATCATACAAAATTCCAAGAATCCCTTAAATTAATAATTCCAACCCATAACTGGTTCACCTGTTTCAATAAGGGACCAGTGCATAATTTCCCTAATTAGAGTTCTCCCTATGCTTTCTTATATTAACTACACTAATAATTCATTCTCCTAAGTATTTGGTTTCTATCTGAATGAGAATTTAGACAATCTTACTGTGGAATCTCTTTTTCCCCTCAGTCCTTAGAATTTCAGCCTTCTTGAATGAGTTTTTTTTTTTTTTTAGAGCATTCACTTAGTTTTCATATAAAACAACCTTTCATATTTCTTTATATAATGTTATTAACATATAGGTAAAATGTCAAAAACAATTGGTATCAACAAGTTTGGAAACAAACAGATTCATGGTAGACACATGGGTATCTGAGAGGTAGCTATGACTTGAAGGTATTTGTATACTGTAGGAATTAATGTGTTTTCAGAAGGATTGGAGGGCGTTGATTCATATGGAGATCAGGAATGATATAAGTTTCAATGTAGTCTCACTACAAATTGAGTTATTTTTAATTAAAACTTTTTAATAATTTAGTAGGTTAAAGGCTGTTGATTTCTAGTAAGGATAGATATTTCCTCTGTGTTTGTTTACTGAATTACTGATTGTATTTATTTGATGTCTGCTGTGTACTTGATCTATACTTATCATTTGTTGGCTTAATACTTTGTATTTTTAGCGTGAATGAGCATTCACATAAAGGAAATACTAATACACTAATACCTAGTTAGAGTGGCTAAAAGTATATTTTTCTTTATTTTCTTTAAGATTTTAGTTCTCTCTTATAGTGTTAAAATTCTCACTTCACAACTTAATCAAGATATAATTAAAGAATAATAAACTGCATATATTTGAAATATACAGTTTGGTCTGTTCCAACATTTTGTTACATCCATGAAATAATCACTATAATCAGGAAACAGACACTTTAGAGGCATCTGGGTAGCTCAGTTGGTTAAGCATCTGCCTTCAGCTCAGGTCCCGGGATTGAGCCCCACATTGGGTTCCCTGCTCAATGGGGAGCCTGCTTCTCCTTCTTCCTCTGCCATCCTCCTTGCTTGTGCTCTCTGGCTCTCTCTCTGTCAAATAAATAAATAAAAATCTTTAGAAAAAAAGAGAGAGAGAGAGAGTGAGAGAGAGAGAAACAAAGAAAAAGAAAGAAAAGAAACCCTTCAGTTATTGCCAGTTTTCCTCATGCCCCTGTGCTATCCATCCTCCCACTCCTGTCTTCAAGTGGTCACTGACCTGCTTTCTGTAACTCTAGATGAGTTTATATCTTCTAGAATTTTACATAAATTGAGTTATACAAGGTATACTCCTGGGATCCCTGGGTGGCGCAGTGGTTTGGCACCTGCCTTTGGCCCAGGGCGCGGTCCTGGAGACCCGGGATCGAGTCCCACGTCGGGCTCCCAGTGCATGGAGCCTGCTTCTCCCTCTGCCTGTGTCTCTGCCTCTCTCTCTCTCTCTGTGACTATCATAAATAAATAAAAAAATTAAAAAAAAAAAAAACAAGGTATACTCCTTTTTCTTTTTGTTGACCTTGTTTCTTTTGCTAGCATGATTTTGAAATTCATCTATGTTGCACGTATCAATAGTTTAGTTTTGTTTCTCTGTAGTATTCCACTTTTGGCTATACTTCATTCATTCACCTGTTCATGGAGTTTGTTCTGGAAATTCTCAGCCATTATCTTTTTAAATATTGCTGCTTCTCCCATTCTTCCTCTCTTCTCCCTTTAAGCTTCCACTTACATTTATGTTTAGTTTTCTAACTGAATCTTCTATGTCATAATGCTTCTCTTAAGATTTTTCCAATCTTTTTCTCTTGGATTTTTTTTTTATCTGTATTGGTTTCTTATTCTCTACTAAAATGATGAGTTTAGCTTCTTGAGCACAGTTTTGTTTTGTTTTAAGATTTTATTTATTCATGAGGGATACAGAGAGAGAGGCAGAGACGTAGGTAGAGGGAGAAGCCAGCTCCCTGCGGGGAGCCCCATGTGGAACTCGATCCCAGCCCAGGATCATGACCTGAGCCGAAGGCAGGCACTCAGCCACTGAGCCACCCAGGCATCCCATTAACCACAGTTATTTTTAAACCCTGTCTCATAACTCCAATATCTAGAGAACTTTTAGATGTATTTCTACAATTGTTTCCGTAGTCTGTTTACATTAATATTGTCTGGTTATTTACTTAGTTTATGGCAGACAGTGTTTGTAAAATGGTAAAACTAATGCCTAGACTACCTTCCTTTATAGAGGATTTCCGTTGCTTCTATCAGGTAACTGAAGGCATTAATATTTTGGTTGCTTTCTCAGTCCATCACCCTCTTTAGTCACCGAGATGGTTTGAAACTGAGCTATATTTTCTGTGTAGGTCTACCTCTGTTTTTTACCCATATTCCTTGGTAATAGCCCTTCTATTCTAACTCAACATGATGAATGTTTAGGACTCCCCTATAGACAGCCCCTGGATACTAATCTCTATCACCTTAGCCTTGAGATGTCATAAGTTCTGTCAGTCTCTAAGCCAAATACTAGTACCAGTACACTCTGAGTACTAAAGATTGGCTGAGCCTTTCAGTATATTCAAATAATAGTAGTTGTAGAATTTTCTTGTTTTGTTCATCTAAAATATTTACCAGTAAGTTTGATATCCCATAGAGATTTAGTAGAGATGTTTGTTTTCTAAGTTTTAAAGATTTTTTTTTGCCATTTATATCTTTAATTTACTTGTAGTTTCTGTTTGTATATGGTATAAAGAAAAGTTATAATTCTTTCTTTACATACTTATAGTAAAATAACACCTATGGAATAATCTGTCTTGTACCTTTTGTCACAATCTAAGTTTCTGCTGTTTCTGATTCCTTGATTGTCCTCCGCTTGATTGTTTGTGACGAGAAATATATAAAAATTCTGGACACAGCTGAGAACCCAGTTGTGGGCTTTTAAAATATAAATTAGAAATGATGCTAGTCAACACATTTTATTTTTTCTAGCTATGTTCACTCATTTAATTCAGACTCAGGATAAGCAGGAAGTTAGGTTTCACCAGGAAGAGATGTATACAAGAGTCATAGTCAAGGACTTGTAATATAAATGGAAGTGAGAAAAATAGGGTGATAGGAGGTATAGTAGAGTCATTATTTCTAACCTCCATGTTTATGCTGTGTTTGAGGGGCCCATAGCTTGTGTATTAGGGATATGCAGATTATAACCTGCTGAATGAGGAGGCACAAGCCATCCACATAGGGACAGCAGGTAGCTCCCTCAATATCCAAGCTTCCACTTTGGTAAGTGAAAATGCTGGAGTTGTTTTGATTGAAGGCACAGTTTTCATATAATCACACAAAAGAAGTAAAGTCACAAGATTAAATACTTATGAATTGTAGAAAATGGGAGCAGGGGCATACAATGAACTATGAGAAGGACAGTCCTCCATCTCTGGTCATGAGCAAGTGGGAGATAAGAGAGCAAAGTAGTGAGCACCATACTTATAAGGTATTTGGGGTGGAGGTCACTATTTGTGGGCTCAACTCTAACTGGTTATTTTTAAAGGTGCCTGAGAAAAGCCAAGCAGGAACTTATGGTGGGAATCCTAAGCTCAGCTCCTTATCTAAATGCTGAGACTCTGGGTGTGAGCAGGATTGTCATATTGTAAGCTGTCTAGGAAGCATCTCAAAATAGCTGCTTCCTCATCATATTCTATTATCTGCGGAATTTATTTTAACGTCTTGGTTTATATTCTTTCAACATTCTTTTTAATTTATCCTAAACTCCTTGCCTGCATTAATTAGCACAATAATAATGATTACTTTCTAGCAGTAGTTTATGTGTGAAATACTGTTAAACCATTTCCAGTCCCCCACATTCCCACGTTTTTTTTCCTGTCATCAGTAGCAGCAGCAGCAGCAGCATCTACTAATTGTTCAGTCCTTTTTCTGTGTCAGGCACTTTATAAAAATGGTATGTTTTCCCAATCCTCTGAATAAATCTCTTAAAAAAGATATTAATATCCCTAGTATCATACAGAAAAAAGGACAGCTCAGGCAAGCTTAGTAATTTTCTCATAACCTAAAGATGGTATTAGTAAATAGAACTGAGCCTGAAACTATGGTCTGTCCTTTTTCCACTATAATACACTACTACTTACACATGTAACTGAACTGCTTTTCAACTTAGTCACTGCTAGAGCACTTGATCAGTTCCCGCCTCTATCATCCCAAGAAAAATTTTAACAACTGCATGACAATTTCACCAAATCCTAGATCAAAAATGAGTCACATTCTTCCTAGCTCTTTGCCTTTGGCAGCTTCTCAAACTATTTTCCTTTTTGAACTGTCACCCATAATTATGTCCTTTAACCTAAATGCGACATACCTGTGTTGCTGAGTTCCTACTGTCTGTTGACTCTAGACCAGATTACTTCCCACATATTGGACTGATAACCCTATTTCCCAACATTGCTGTTTTTAAGCTCAGAATTATATAAGACATTCATCATAGTATCTTCCATGGTACTTGAAAATTTGTAGATACTTTCTGTAATATTTTGGTGGCCTTACACAGAAGGGAAAAGAAGAGGCGACCTGGGGAAGGGCTTCAAAGCATAAAGCAGAATAGATGAGCAATACTATGAACTCAAGAATAAAGAAAACAAAACCACGTTCATTGGGGTCATGTGACAAAAAGATGGTTTGGCTGTGTACCATGGATGAAATGAGCAAGTTGAAGTCTTTGCTTATGCAAAGGCAAACTGAAAACTGATTATGTAGGTATGATTACATTTCTGGAAATTTTCTTTCAGTTAGTTTAGATGTACTTTTGTTTCCTCCTCTTAGTACAAAAGTAATATGGAAGCAGTATACATACTCATTTCAGTAATGATGGAAGCAAATAGACAGTGAGAGATGTATTACATTATTATATGATTAAAAGATCCTAATCATGCTTCCCAGTACTTGGTTTTTGTAGTATTACCTTTTATTCCATCCTAAATTCCCCCCATATCCTTTTTTTTAATATTGTATTTTTACAGAATTATTTTTTTAATGCCTAACATATGCTAAGACTTGATTTACCATACTGAATGAAATGGTCTTATCTTTACATTGGCAGTCCATGACTGGGTGATAGCTGAATAAATATTTTTTTAAATGGAACTACTCAGATGTATTTGACTAAAACAAAGCTTTTATGTATCTAATCACTCACCTCAACTTTTTTTTAGTTCTGTTAAATTTCTATTTATTTTTGCCCCTTTTTCATATTGCCCAGAATTTGAGAATTTCTTAAGCCAGTCATTTCTTGTGTGCCTTATGCATTTTAAGATTTACTTTTTATATCTACATTGGACATTTTGTTTCTTTTGGAACAGTAAAACAGTATGAATTTATCTTCTTATCTTTCAGACATGCAGTCCAGCTGTCAGAGCAAGAAGTTATCACAAAAACATGTCACTTTTGAGAGAGAAATACCTCAATTGGAAATTTGTAAAAAACACAACCTTGAATATTTATGTTTTAGGGGTGATTGGGAAAGCAAAGATCAGTTTGAAACACAACAGGAAAATCAGGAAGAATGTTTTAAGCAGGTTACACTTACCTATGAAAAAATGTCCACTTTTAACCATCACACAACTTTTAATGTACATCACAAACAGAATACAGGAAAGAAACTGAATGAATTTAAAGAGTCTCGGAAAGCCTTTCGTTCTGGCTCAGACTGTACTCAACATCAATTAATGCACACTAGAGAGAAATTTTGTGAAGATAAGGAATATGAGAAGACCTTCCTTTCTGATTCAGAACTTACTCAGTATCAGACAGTTCACTCTGCTAAGAAAACATATGAATGTAAAGAATGTGGGAAGGCATTTAGTTTGCGGTCAAGCCTTACTGGTCATAGGAGGATTCATACTGGTGAAAAACCTTTTAAATGTAAGGAATGTGGGAAGTCCTTTAGATTTCATTCACAACTTAGTGTCCATAAGCGTATTCATACTGGTGAGAAGTCTTATGAATGTAAGGAATGTGGGAAGGCCTTTAGTTGTAGCTCAGATCTTACACGACATCAAAGAATTCATACTGGTGAAAAACCCTATGAATGTAATGAATGTAGGAAGGCATTTAGTCAGCGATCGCATCTTACTAAACATCAGAGAATTCACACTGGTGAAAAACCTTATGAGTGTAAGGAATGTGGAAAAGCTTTTACTCGTGGCTCACACCTAACTCAACATCAGAGAACTCATACTAGTGAGAAATCTCATGAATGTAAGGAATGTGGAAAAGCCTTTATTCGTGGTTCAAATCTTGCTCAACATCAGAATGTTCATGTTGGTAGGAAACCCTATGAATGTGAGAAATGTGGAAAAGCCTATATCTGGAGTTCACACCTTGCTCGACATCAACGAATTCATACTGGTAGGAAACCTTATGAATGTAAGCAGTGTGGGAAGACATTTATTTGGGCCTCATACCTTGCTCAACATGAGAAAATTCATAATGAGAGGAAACTCTATGAATGTAAGGAATGTAGAAAGACCTTTCTTCATGGCTCAGAGTTTAATCGACATCAAAAAATTCATACTGGTGAGAGAAACTATGAATGTAAGGAATGTGGAAAGACCTTTTTTCGTGGTTCAGAACTTAATCGACACCAGAAAATCCATACTGGAAAGAGGCCATATGAATGTGAAGAATGTGGTAAAGCCTTTCTCTGGGGTTCACAACTTACTCGACATCAGAGAATACATACTGGTGAGGAACCTTATGTATGTAAAGAATGTGGGAAATCTTTTATCTGGGGTTCACAACTTACACGACATAAGAAAATTCATACTGATGCAGAATCCTATGAATGTAAGGAAAGTAACCAGATCTTTAATGACCATCCATATTTTCCTGAACAGAAAATTCACAATTGTGAGAATCTCTATCAATGGAAAGACTATGGGAACACATTTAGTCAGGACTCAGACTTTCCTCAGCACCAGGATATTTATAGTTTTGAGAAATCCTATGAATATAAAAATTTTGAGACATCATTTTCTCCAACCTCTCACTTTATTTCACTCTTATGATATAAAAATATAGGAAGGCCTGTATTCACGACTCATTGATGAGAATCAATCTCTTCTTTTGAGAACCCCCACAAATGTAAGTAATATTGGAAAACCCTTTAATGGAGCACCTAACACTGAATAGCAGACAATTCAAATGCAATCTGTTATTAATACCGGAAAGCATTTACTTATGGTTTTCCATTTGGAATATCAGAGTAAAACCCTATGAATAAGATGACACTGTGAATATCTTTTGAATCATTCTTAAAGTATTCTCTACATCACTGATAATATTCCGCATAGAGTCTAAATCTAACTCATGTAGGGAAGCCTTCTATCTCTATTTAAATCTTGTTACACTTCCATAAAATTATACCAAAGTTGAATTTCTGTTACATAATTAATCTTGGAAAGCCTTGAGCTTTGTCATACAATTTATATGGTATGCCTTAGTTCCAAAACATCTTATTGGTATTTTTTGGAAAGTAACTCAAATCTGTGTCTGTTCACTTACTTATTTGATTAAAGGGTTAAATGAGCTTGATGACTTAAATGACGTCATGACCATCATGAATATTAGTATTAGACCATTTCTATAACAGAAAGACCTTAATAATATAATGAATATAGACAAATATGCCATCAGTATTTGTGTCTTCTTGAACAGTAGGATATTAATTCTGAAGAAAAGGCAGTAAAACAGAAAGAAGGGAAGAAAGCTTTGAATCAGTATTTCATTTGCTGCACAAAAAAATCCATACTATAAAGAAAGCCTTATGGTTTCAATGAAAGTGGAGTTGTTGAGTGTTCAGCAATGATTTTTGTTTTGTTTTTAAAGGCATTTGGAAGTGATTTGTCTCTAACAAATTTTTCTAAAGCCAAATGTCATATCCATTTTATCACCACAATTTAAATTTAGAAATTAGAAAATGGCCAAATAAATTCTGACCTTGTGGAAATTTAGTACTACATATATAAATAATTATCAAAGGAATGAGCAGGTCAGTAGTCAAGTTACTGGCTATTTAGATGTGAATGATAATGAAACTCCTATATATCAAATTCTATGAACATGACCATGGCAGTTCTCAATGGAAATCACTGTCTGTATATAACTAAGACAACTGAGGGCAGTTTACTTCTTGTCACCACTGTGTCTCCAGCACTTATGTCTTATTATGGAGTCCAAATATTTGTCAAATTAAATAATGATTACTGAACTAAACAAGCTAATGCCTCAATGGGCATTTGAATTGATAGAAAGTTTTAATGAAAATAAAGCAAAAATCATGGAATAAAGAACAATACAAAAGGTTTTTAAAATTTTAAGTCAAAATATTTCTTTGAAGAAACTATTATTACTAGGCTTTGGCAATGCTTTCTCTTATGATAAGAAAGGAAAACTCTAATAGATGTTTTAGAGAATATTTTTAATGATCATATAAATAGTCATAAACCTTATTAGACACAACTTTTAAATAGAGTCTTATTTGTTTTCTAGGAAAACATTTTAAATGATATCTCAAGAGTAACTAAAAGGTGCCCCAAAATTTAACGATTGGAAAAAATAATCTTTAAAAATCATGTAGGAGCAGATAATTGTACAGGCTACCCCCTGAAGAAAATCCTATGGAAAAATTGTGAACAGATCCTAAAAGACCAATATAATTCTGATAATAAAATTAGATGTCGAGTAGCCCTTGAACAACAAATTCAAGAATAATTTCACTCATGAACATACATAGAAAAAACTAATGCAGGAATCAAATGATATTTAACCAAAATGTTTAAACTCTTATATAGGTAGGTGATAATTCTGTAGTTTACACATAACTTCAGGATACTGATGATGAAGATGTACTTTATCAGTTCAGTACTTAATTTATTCTAAGGATATTTTCTTGGTATATCTTATTACATAAAATAAAGAATGCTGAGCTTATATACATGTACTTAGCACATTTTAAATCCAGCTTTTTAACAGTAGCTAAACAATATTAGGGAACAGAAGTTCCCTCCCACATTATTGTCTTCTGTGCAATTTCTCAACTTACATGGGAAAAATGAAATTCTTTTGTTATATTACTTTATTGTAATAAACCAACCATCTTCATCATGCTATTTTTTTTAAGGTGATGAATACACTGAGAAAAATATCAGCTTTCTGGACATATATAGATAAATATAGGGCATTCCTTTTTCCTTTTGCTTAGACTTTTGTGTTTAGTATCAGTTTGTGTATCTGGTGTTCCTGTCTCCTTCATTGTGAATTCCTGGATCTCCTTGAATACTTGAGGTACATGTTTCTTGAACTTTCACTCTTTCCATTGGTATGTTTGTGAATTTTGATAATGTCTTCTCTAGTCTTTTAGGGTGAATTCCCAACAAATCAAGATAATCTAAATGTAAAAAACAGGAAGAAACTTTACAAGTACTACATAGGTAAAGTCCTTTATAACCCAGGAATGAAGATATCAATTAGTATGATTCAAAAATCCAGTAGAAATAAGAAAAAAATAAATAATTTTATAGGACTAAATATTAAAGATAAAGGAGAATGACAGAATGGAAATATTTGCAACTATCCTACAGACTATATATTTAAAGAGTCTAAAAATTGAGATGGGAATGCAAGTTACACACACTGAAATACCACTTCATCCCAATCAGATGGGCAAAATAAAAAAAAATGTATTAATATGCTCCATTGGCAAGACTTGGAAAAACAAGGACAGAAACTACTGATGAAAATGCAAAATAGTACAATTTATATAGGAAGGAATCAAGCAATATCCATGTGTAGTCGCATGCATTCACCATAAGACCCACACCCTTGCTTCTATCCCAGAGATACACTGGCAAAATTACAAAATGTGGTATACACAAAGAAAAAATTTTACAAAACACTATTTGTAAATGCAGCAAACTGGAAACAACCCAGATGTTCAGCAGTAGACTGACTGAATTAATTATATGAATGTACAGTGGAATTTTGTGTACCTGTGTTCTATGGAGTGATCTTCAGGATATATTAAAACCAGGTAAGTACGGAATGATATTATATGATACTACTATTTATGAAAAAAGAGAGGAATGTAATATATGCCTGTACTTTCAACAAGAAATCTCAAGGTGAAACAGCAGGAGAGGGTGAGGATGAAAGGTAATTATCTGCAGTTATGCTTTGACTTCTAGTTTGATTTTGGATCTATGTAGATACTTTACATACCAGCTTTTATCTTAAAAATTACATCAGAAACACTTGGGTGACAGAGTCTGCTTGTTCCTCTCCCTCTGGTCCTCCCCTACTCAAGCTTGCTCTCACTCTTGCTCTCTCTCTTTGCAATAAATTAAATCTTTAAAAAAATATTTTGACTTACTATTAGAATATCTCCAGAATATTCTGTATCTGAAGGAAAAAGAGAAATATAAAGAAGTCTAAAATGCCTTTACTAGTCTTTTGTTAGTGGTAATATTGATATTAGGTGATTCCAAAATTAATTACATAACTTAATTTCATGAGGAATTACATTTTTTCAAAAGAAAAACGTAAGTAAAATATAGTCTTTCATTTGACTTGAAAGTATTTCCTACCTCTGTCCACCAAGGGATTTAGAAGCATTAGTAACAGAAGCAATGAGATCTAGACTAGTTTTTAAATTCTGTTTTCTATTAAAAAAAAAAAAAAGCAAGGGCTCCTTGAAGGAATGATATAAAGACAGGTCAAGGATACCAGATGTATATATGATTATCATAAAACATTGTACCTAAAAGCAATAAAGCTATCAAAGACCGTAGTATCATCAACCAAAAGAAACTGATCAAAAATAGGATAATTTAAGCATCAAAAACTATTGCAGTGGGTTGAAATCATCATAGGTAGAACTTCCTAAATTCAAAATGGAAAAAAAAAAAGATAGAGCTCTTTATGGATTTTGTCAGAGTACTAGCTCATTCTGAAATTTCAATAAGTTGAAGAGTCAAGTATTTATCATGATTTTTCTGTACAATCTGTAATCAAATAGTTGGTGAGAGGAGATTTTATTATAAAAGAATTAGCTAATATATTCAGAAAGAAAGAAAGTTATATTTGGCATCCTTTAACAAAATAATGGATTTAGCAACAATCCATAATAAATGGGTGATTGGAATTTCAGAAGGTAGCAATCAGGTTGACAACACCTGAATTAGTTGGCCAATCTTAGCAACATTTAATTGGAACAGTATGGTATTAATATGCCTCCTGGGGATCCCTGGGTGGCGCAGCGGTTTGGTGCCTGCCTTTGGCCCAGGGCGCGATCCTGGAGACCCGGGATCGAGTCCCACGTCGGGCTCCCGGTGCATGGAGCCTGCTTCTCCCTCTGCCTGTGTCTCTGCCTCTCTCTCTCTCTGTATGACTATCGTAAATAAATAAATAAATAATTTTAAAAATATGCCTTCTAATATGCCATAGAAAGGGGAAAGTACTAACTAAGCTATATTTCCCAACATTGAATCTTAATTACTTTAGTCTCTTGATCTAATTGCCAGTTTAGAGGAAATAAAATGAATTTTAAAGCCCTTAAGTGCTATAGTGAAAATCACAATTGGCCAAATCAGAATTTGGAAAATTCTACAGGACAAATAACCAAGTTTCTTCAATAAATGAGTGGCATGGTAAGGAGGGAGAAAAACAGAGAACTGCTGTAGTTCAGAAGAGACTTTAGGACATATCAACCAGATTCAAAGTGTAGAACGTTCCTGGGTCCAGACTTGAATAGGTAACTGAATAGATATTTTAAGGAAGTCATGAAAAATTGAACATGGATTGGGTATTAGATATTAAATAATGTTAATTTGGTTAGATGTGTAAAGACTACAGCTACTTCAAGTGGAAATCTTTATTTGCCAGACATATTAAAGTATGAGTAATATGATTTGCATTTAGACACCCCAGAAAAAATTAGGGGATGTAGCAAATGCAAAAAAAAAAAAAAAAGTATTATCAGTTGTTTAAGCTCCTCTCTTTTGGTGCATGTTTTAAATTGTCCATAATTTTTACAAACTTTTAAAATAAATACCTCACCCTCTCCCAAAAGGGAATATGCATAGTCACTGGTCGTGGTGATTCCTCTTCTCCAGTCACATTTCCACTGTAGTTTGTGCTAAACTAGAGTAAACATTTTATCTTTAATCACCATCAAAAGACCTTATATAAATCAAGATTAGGAAAGAGGGAGAGAGAGGAAGTTTATT